CCACTATAATTATGTCAGCCAGGGAGGTGGATTGTGGGCAGAGGCAGCACGGCAGATGGGAATAAAGGTACAATTTTACTATATTTAGGAGGGCAAGAGGGGACCAGGGGGGCTTTCAACACCATAGGGTCTTCAATACATGTTTGCGTTCCCGATCCTATAGTGTTTCTCTAAGAAGTTATTATTATCTGCTCTGTTATTTGAACTTTAATCACACACAGGAGGCTGTTGCAGGCCCTATATAAGAAATTCTAAATTATGCACACTGTACAACAAGGAAAGAAAAAAGAGTAATTGTATATGAGTCTCAGCCACAGGAAGTTGTTTTGATGCTTAGAGTGTTACTTTCAACTACTGTCCTATTTCCCTATTATTTTATTGCCCCATTCTTTAATTTCATATTTCATAATTAATAATTATTTTCATTTGTTTTTCTCCATGCTGATGTTTAGCTACACCTCCTTATGTGCAAGTAATTTAATAATATAATGACATTTAATTAAATCTCTCACATTTAATTAAATCTCTCCATAATTTAATCTCTCCATTTTAATATCTGTATAAATGAAGCAATATGTTTAGGTGAAGCTCCATATAGATTCATATTATCCTTTTCAATGTTTGCAGCAAGGTAAATATGCTGAGACAAATGTATTTTAATCTTTTAACCAGGTTAATGAAAATGAAATTTTGCTTCCAGCTTTAAAATGTATTCAAATAACTAAAATAATGAAATTGTGGTGGTTACTGTGTTTTTGTTGGTGTTATTATTTACAAGCTAATGTTAGTGTATCAGTGTAACATATGATTTTTCAGTTAGAAATGTGCAACAATTACATTTCATATTGAATAAGATTAACACCACAATCTCACACATATGTACATATATGCTTAATATGTAGTGGAGTCTTTACTAAATAGCTTTGACATATACGTTTAAAAAAATATCTTGTTGGAAGAATTCTCCAGCTTGGCAACGTTGACTATAGAGGTTTAAATTTAGAAAGCGGGTTGTTAAGTCACCAGGTAACAAAATAACTATGAAGAATATTTCCTAAGCATTTGAATATATATTACAATATATTTCAGCCATCAACTTAGATTACATGCAATGTGTACATGAAAAACTAAAAAGCAAAGTTGAATGTACGAGTATAGGGAGCTATCTGGGAGAGTCTTGCAGGAGATGATGTAGATGAGGGTTATTGCATGAGGGCTTGGCACTAAATGTTGGTATGTGGTATGGAAGAGGCTTAATGGGAGTTACTAACACAGGAATAGAGAAGTCTGTGAGGAGGATAAAAGTAGCATTTTTAATAATAAGCCCTAGGGTTAATGATTTATGGGTGAATCACAAAGTTCTGTGTCATTCTGTGTCAATAGTGCCGGGACCCCCTCCCAGAGTAAGTTTAAGAACAGTTTGACAACTTACCTGAGGTCTGCTGGGAAATGGAGCTTTAGTAGGGCATAGGAGCAGTGGTGTGTGTGAGTGGTGCAATGTGTAAGGGGTGCAGTATGTGTGCGTGTGAGAGGGACAGTGTGTGAGCAGTGTGTGTGTGAAGGTTGTAGTATGTGAGTGAGGGTGGCAGTGTATGTCAGGGATGCAGTGTATGTGTGGGACAGTATGTGTGTGTAACAGTTGCAGTGTGTGTGTGAGTATTGCAGTGTATGTGTGAGTGTGGGCAATGTGTGTGTATGGGGGTAGTGTGTGTGTGTAGAGTGTGTGTATGGGGGGCAGTATGTGTGTATGGGGGCAGTATGTGTGTATGGGGGTGTGTGTATGGGGGGCAGTGTGTGTGTATGGGGGCAGTATGTGTGTATGGGGGCAGTATGTGTGTATGGGGGGCAATGTGTGTGTATGGGGGGGCAGTATGTGTGTATGGGGGGCAATGTGTGTGTATGGGGCAGTGTGTGTATGGGGGTTGTATGTGTATAGAGTGTGTGATAAGGGTAGGGGGGAGCTTTTTTTTTATAATATATGTATTTATTTTTTATTTAATTAAAATAAATATCCTATGTCCCCCCTTCCCTTCTTACCTTTATTGAGGAGGAGGGGGGACATATTTAGATCCCTGGTGGTCCCAGTGGGATTCCCTGGTGGTCCAGTGTGGAGAGTGAAATCTAGCCCGCGCTCCCGGGCTAGAGTTCACTCTCGCGAGATTTGGAGCGTTGCCGTGGTAACTGCAGCAACGGTCCAAATCTCGCTAGAGGAGGACCCGGAGGAGCTGCAGGCAGAGCCTCCGGGTCCTCTTTCCTCCCTCTCACTCCCCCTGCCGACTGTCAGCAATGTGCCTGCGGACTAGGGAGGGAGATCTCTGATCTCTGATCTCCCCTCCGGTCCGCAGGCACATTGCACGGCTGGCGTCTGCATGCGCTGGCAGGGGAGAGGGAGACCGTCGGATTTCTCGGGGGGGCAATTGCCCCGTTGCCCCCCCCTGGATCCGCCACTGTGTTGAACTGGATCAAAGGATGCAGCATCTGTTAACTGGGATATTAAAGGTGATTGTAAAGCCCTATTGCAATTGTCCTTCTACTTCATAATTCACCTTACATGTTGCTTTGTCACACAAATCCCTAATAAACTATAAAGAGCATCAATAGCAATCTACCAGTGAAAGGAGTAGCAAGATTGCTTTTTCAAGGCACTTCATGTGTTAGCAGAATCCCAATTTTATCACATGACAGGGGGCTTCATATTTGCATAACTCTCTTTACTGAAACTCCCAGCAGCACAGATCATAATAGAACAACCAATCAAAAAACACTTCAACGTTATACAATAGGTCCTGTCACACTCATCACTTCCTCTTTCTTTGCTGCTCCAGCACACAGGTCTACTCCTGCTCTTTTAAAAGCTACTTTTGCTAACCAATAAAAGCTGATCCTATATCCACTAATAAAGCCTGCAGTACTGCTTCATGGCACTATCATTATAGATGACTATATTGTGAAGCTGACCCTGGGTGAGCCCCAGTTGTACAAGGAGCCTGGCACCTTGAGTACGTCTCCACTTATCCTGCACCCACTGATTGTCGCTGTTCTCTTACAGGCAGACCGACCACCATGGGCGACACATCCCCACCAATGCAGGATTTTCAGGCTATGATCGCAGCTTCAGTTTAAAAGGCCCTACTACGGGTCTTGCCCCAACCACAGCAACAGTGCCACAAGAACCCAATATCGTCCCAGGATGTGACACTCCACTGCATCAGACAGGGTCCAAACGACACTGGAAGGGTTCAGGTCCCCAACGGGAAGCAAGTCTAGGGGCAAAGCTCCCCTAAAAAAGCCCAAGTGTTTTGTAAGAGTGCAGACAGCCCCTCCTCCAATCCTCAGACAAGTACGAATTTGGTCCATTCATATTTGTGTGTGAAAATGCAAAAAACTAATTTGAACGCCAATTTTGGCCAGTGTTTGTGACTAAGTGCTTACTAAAAATGACTGGGCATACCCCATTTGCAATACCTTAAGTTGTCGACTTTTGCAAATGGTATGCCATAATGGGGGTAATTCTCATTCCTGGGCTACTATACGGTCTCAAAGGCAACATAAGCAATCGGGCAAATTTCAATGTGAAAAAAGGAAATTCAAGCATTATTTTGACTTAGTAACTTTTGAAAACACCATAAAACCTGTATATGGGGGGTACTGTTATACTCGGGAGATTTCACAGAACACAATTATTAGTGTTTCAAAATAGTAAAACGTATCACAACAATATTATCGTCAGTGAAAGTACAGTTTGTGTGTCTAAAATACAAAAAATTGCATTTTCACTGATGATATCATCATTGTGCTATGTTTTACTGTTTTTAAACACTAAATCTCCTGAGTAAAACAGTACCCCCCATGTACAGGTTTTATGGTGTCCAGGAAAGTTAGAGGGTTAAATATAGGGCTTGCGAGCCAAATTCTTTGGACTTTCTGCCTGGGTTGTTGGGCAGCTCCATCAGATTGTAATTAATAAAATGACTTAATTGTGTAAAAATATTATATAAATATATTTGTAGAATTTAAATATATATGTATATGTATATATATATATATATATATATATATATAAATATATATATAAAAAACAATAAATAGTTGCAGCGCACTCAGACTACAAAACAATATATAATACAAAGAAGGCTACTAAAATGCCTATCTGAAAATAAATATGGGGATTTAGTTCCACCATATGGCCATATGTTGTTAAGCCCACCACTACTTTCAAAGTACCCCAATATTGGTGGGTCCTACGCTAAAAATGTGGGGGACAAATTAAATAGTACTAGTGTTGAAAATGACAAGTGTTAAATTAAATCCTGATAAGAGCATAGTGAGTATACAAAAATGAGTGATGAAAGCAATTAAAAACAGTGTTAAAACTAAACAAATAATGTGTTAGTGCTAAAAAGAGTATACTCACTATAGCAGATGATATCTGTGCTGACTAGAGAAAATAATAAAAGTGACTAGACTACTGAGAAACTACTCCTATTTATACACACCTGTGGCCACCTCTAAAGGAGCCTCTGAAGTTGGGGGGGCTGGGCGGGGTGCTTAACCCCCAAGGAATCTGGTCTGGATTCCAAATAGAATGTATACAGAAAAAGGATAGGGGGCACTCCCGAGACCTGCATTTTGTATGAAAGGTGCTGCCGCAGTGACCAAACTTCATACATAAAACAATAAATAGTTGCAGTGCACTCAGACTACAAAACAATATATAATACAAAGAAGCTACTAAAATGCCTATCTGAGAATAAATATGGGGATTTAGTTCCACCATATGGCCATATGTTGTTAAGCCCACCACTACTTTCAAAGTACCCCTATCCTTTTTCTATATATATATATATATATATATATATATATATATATATATATATATATATATACACATATATATATATATATATATATATATATATATATATATATATACATACAGTTCGATGGTGGTTTTGCACTCCAGCTCACCTTTAAGTTTTGGCCCGGTGCTCAGCTGCACATAGATACACCCTCCAAGAAAAAAGCTAGCACTCAAGGAGTTCAAAAAATGTAGGCATTGACCATTTGGATTAAATGCCTACATTTTTTTGAAGTCCTTGAGTGCTAGCTTTTTTTCTTGGAGGGTGTATATATATATATATATATATATATATATATCATTTTTTATTATTATTTGTATTGATAGATAGATATCTATATCTATCTATCAATACAAATAATAATAAAAAATTATATATATCTATATCTATCTATCTATCAATACAAATAATAATAAAAATGATATATATATATATATATATATATATATATAAAAAAATCCAGAAGACCCCTGCACTCCAACTATGAACAAAATTAAATACCTGGTGCTCTGGTGGCTGGATAGAATATGATAAAGTAATACCGGCACTCAAGGGTTTCACCACAAACAAATCTTCATTTATTGCGAAGTATAGATCGACGTTTCAGCTCCTCACAGGAGCTTTCATCAGGACACAAAATATCAAAAGCATTGACATACACTTATATAGGACATATAATGGTGTATACTTACATTCAGGTGTGTAGCATTCTCGTTCCCGCCAAAATCGCCGTGGGCGCCATGTCCAACTGAAACACTTCCGGATTCCGATCACGTGACTCCCCTGACGAAATCTAATTGGACAGCTCGGTACATTACCAGGGCAACCAGGATCAACATAATCCTATTGGTTGCAACCACCAGTACCTGAGCCGACGAGGGACAAACAGGTTTCCGGATGTGATACGTTGGCATGGCGACCACAAAGCGTCATCAGTACGCGAACGAGAATACACTAAAGCATAATAAGCAACAAACGTGGTCCAACAATGTTGCATAAATTAAAAGTGTGGTAGTGAGTGGTAAAGTGATAAATGCTCTCCTTGAAAAATAAAGGATGCCGATATTGTGAAAATATATTTAGAAAAAATATTTATATGCCTCTATACACACGGCAGCCATAATAGTATAAAGAGCAAGTTAATAAGTTGAAGTGAACATTATTGGGAGTGCATATTGCGTGAATGTGATGAAACAAAAAGTGATGCTGTGTTACTGGGCTGAAGAACAGCCTATAAAATGAGAGTGAAGGTTCTGTAATAGAATTATGTAAATTGAATGGACCATTTATATTTAATACAATAAATACTGCACCTGTAATGAGTATCACCATTAGATACTAAATACAAACAAATAATGAATAATCTAAAATCTTAAAGAGCAGTATACTATATATAAAAGCAACCTGAATAATTCTCTCGTATGAGTAGCTCATATTTCTCCAAGAGAATTATTCCAAAAAATTCTTTCATTTTAAATATAACCATCAGTATAATCGATGGTATGAACTTTACACATAAAGTAAGCATCTCAGATATTTTTCAAATATTTTTCAAATATTTTTCAAATATTTTTAAATTAGGAGACTAAGATCTAAATTAAATAAAAAGGGAACAAACAATTTTGTATTAATGCCTAAAGGCCTACAACTCTAAATAACAAAGAATTGGTGCTCTATTCTTCACAAGAATGGTATGAACGAGCATTTTTCATTTAGGCCTCTGGGTGCTAGAGTTCCCAACTGGCAAATCCAGTAAGTCTCTCTCTGCAACAGGTGCCTAGCTCTATCACCACCTCGGACCGCAATAGGGACATGTTCAATGGCAACACATCTAAGTGAAGAGAGTTGATGCTTTAATTCTAAATTTATACTATTATGGCTGCCGTGTGTATAGAGGCATATAAATATTTTTTCTAAATATATTTTCACAATATCGGCATCCTTTATCTTTCAAGGAGAGCATTTATCACTTTACCACTCACTACCACACTTTTAATTTATGCAACATTGTTGGACCACGTTTGTTGCTTATTATGCTTTAGTGTATTCTCGTTCGCATACTGATGACGCTTTGTGGTCGCCATGCCAACGTATCACATCCGGAAACCTGTTTGTCCCTCGTCGGCTCAGGTACTGGTGGTTGCAACCAATAGGATTATGTTGATCCTGGTTGCCCTGGTAATGTACCGAGCTGTCCAATTAGATTTCGTCAGGGGAGTCACGTGATCGGAATCCGGAAGTGTTTCAGTTGGACATGGCGCCCACGGCGATTTTGGCGGGCACGAGAATGCTACACACCTGAATGTAAGTATACACCATTATATGTCCTATATAAGTGTATGTCAATGCTTTTGATATTTTGTGTCCTGATGAAAGCTCCTGTGAGGAGCTGAAACGTCGATCTATACTTCGCAACAAATGAAGATTTGTTTGTGGTGAAACCCTTGAGTGCCGGTATTACTTTATCATATATATATATATATATATATATATATATATATCATTTTTTATTATTATTTGTATAAATACTACTTAAATTTGTATAATACTGCTTCCAGTGATGCAGCTGCGCCGGGGTCTCGCAGTCTCTCACCCACCCTGGATCCACGACCAGGATCCAGCTCCCAGTGGGTGAACCTCTCCTAAATCCAGAGAGCGTAGCAGGAACAAGAGCTTACTCTGGGGAGTGCATATATATATATATCATTTTTTATTATTATTTGTATTGATAGATAGATATAGATATAGATATATATATATATATATATATATAAGGCTTGGCCTGTAATTGTGTACTTAAACCCAGTGAGCCCCTGCTTATCTGTCATTGACGATCTCGGAAATTATTCTGATTACTTCCTGTTCACTGGACCCTGACGTCATTTTCCCACCCGCCGGCAGTCTGTCTGCATCTCTCTCTCTGCTTTGTGTTCGTGAGTATAACGAGGGTAGCCAAAACACGAACGGCTAATCATAAGTTATACAGCATCATTCATGCACTCCTCATACTTGTCAATTACTCACACGTTTGGCTACACTGTTTCTTTCGTCTATATAGATCATGTTAAATCCTTCAGATCACTGAAAGCGGTTCATGCTAACTAGCGTGTCGGCTAAATTTCCATCTACAGCTACGTTCGCATACAACGCGGTCGTTCCTATTAGTACACACATAGCAGCCGCTCGGGTAATCCTCTCTTTCGCATAGACTTTTGTTTATCTGTATTAGCATATCTAGCAAGTCAAGGTCATTTTGGTTAAATACAGCACGCGGAAAGCATTTTTTGTCAATTTAAACAGCATTTTGTGTTTCATTTCATTTTACTTAAACAATTCTTTCAGTACATCGTCTTTTACTTGTTATTTATGCCTAAGTTAAAACGTACAGCAATACCCTTATCAGGATGTCATATGGCAGTTATGGTTACATTCACTGTGTAATTTAAACAATAAATAAAGTGCTTATTGCTATATAAGTATGTCATAACATGTTTTATTTATGCTCCGCTGCTGCATCTAATTAGTCCAATTCACACAAGGCTGTATTTAAATAAGATGTCAACTATGTTCATTTTCTTCCCTCCTGTTAAAGATCATACAAATACGGTCACTGATTGCAACAGGTTCCTTCTTGGTTAAATACACTACTCCATTTAAAGAGGTAGGCCCCCCCGTCCCGCTTCCAGTGATGCAGCTGCGCCGGGGTCTCGCAGTCTCTCACCCACCCTGGATCCACGACCAGGATCCAGCTCCCAGTGGGTGAACCTCTCCTAAATCCAGAGAGCGTAGCAGGAACAAATCAAGCTCTTACAAGAGCTTACTCTGGGGAGTAAGTGATTATAGCAATCCCCAGAGTGTAGGTATCCCTTCCCCCAAGCATGAGCCAAGGCTTCAAGAAAGGTGCAAGTAGGTCTGGTTTATTGAGGGCCAGACCTACTTGCACCCCCTACTCCCCTAGGGGACCTGATGGAACCAGCACTCCCCTAGGGGACCTGATGGAACAATGGGACATATATTAGATATTAGCCAATCACAGACAATACAAACAAAACACTCCCTCCTCTCTATCCTGAAGATAATTGGGGAGTAATCAAATTATCTCCCACGACAGAGGCAAGACTCCATTAACCACATGGTTACAAAAAGACATAAAATTACACAATGTTACAATTACTACATAAAACATATACATGCAACATATCCCCAGATAGCTTAGCGCACATTATTACCCAATGGCGCTCAGATCACATACATACAGTTCAATCGCCATGGAGCCAAAGTCTTTTCCATTGTCTTTTGTTACACGAATAGGCTCCATGGCATAGCTATCTGGGGTAGCACTACTCACATACTGAAAGTCCTGAACGCCCCAGCAGAAATACACAAATAAACCTTTCTGCAGGGTAAAATACAGCTATCAGCACAGGGGCCATAGTCGGAAGGCAGGAGGCTAGCCAGTAGTCCCCTCCAGGCACAAGTGGCGAAGGGCACTTCGTCACATACAGCATTGTGAATATTGATATATAAGTGTGTTAACAGGTTTATATTATGCTCTGCTACTGTCTCCGGCATCTCATGTTCCTAATTATACTAGGCTGTATATAAATAAGATGACAATTAAGTACGTTTTTCCCTCCTGTTAAAGATCGTACAATTACTGTTACTGATTGCTAAGGGGCCTTATGGGTTAAATACACCACATTACTTAAAGAGGTAGGCCTCGGAAATTCCTACCTAAATTTCATGTATTTCCTTTTGGTAACATGTACTATAAATAAATAAGTCTCATTAGTTTCAAGTTATCACCCTACCAGGATAAGCCGCACAGGATCCTCATACGTGGCACAAAATTACAACGTCGCCCACATATAAAACAAAATCAAAACCTCCAAAGACCATACAATTATCAATGCAACTATGTTTCATTTCATTCAATTATCTACACAATAACCAAACGTTAACCAACCGATTGCATAACGTTTCAACAATTCGTCTCTACCGTCAGTAGTTATGGTACGGTAAATAATTATTGTACATCTAGATAATCATGGTGTTATAGTTGCAATATCAATTGGTAATGTTTATGGTGTTACAATTATAATGTCATACAGTAGTTTTGGTGTCGTCAATGTACAATTATACACTTTACACACTTTTACAAGACCGCTAAACACCAAAACTCAAACCTGTTAGCAGTATACGGATCGTTCTTTCCACTACAGTATACGTTATACAGGAAATCAGCAGGTACGTTAACAAAATAAAACCAGTTGGTGTTAGGACAAGGTTTAAGCTCTCGCCAATTTAGGTATGGTCCTGTAGGCCTCCTCGCCTATAAGTTAAATGGTCCTGCAAGGCATACAATCAGCCTTCCATTCAGAGGTTTGAGCCCAATCGGCTCATTCAAGATCCTCCACATAGCCTTTTGAGGCACCCTTGGGCATTATACACAGAGCCTGGCACGGCTCTGGAATTCGTGAGTGTATCCAATTACTCTTATACTCATTTATTTGTAAATATAGTCTATACTATGTATTGTTTTTTTGTGTTGTTTTAGGAATCTATTACATGGAACATTATATGCATATATCTGCACATGTATAAGTATTCTTAATTACTTTTGTCCATTTTCTATTAGTACCATTTGTACACAGGGAGTGATGTGTGTATGTGGCACTTGTTGTTCTCAAGTACCTTTATCTTACTATTAACATGTGTCTATTACTCATACCAAAACAAGCCATACTGGTCCTCCAGTAGAGATGAAATATTATCCTACCTCTACCAAATCAGGTCCTATGCACGTTTTGGATAATCTTTTGGAATCTCAACTCACTTCCATCCCTGATTCCCCACTAGTAGCTTTTCAAGGGAAACCCCTTACCAATAAACGTTTTATGCTTTACATTCGTACGATATCACTCCGACTCACTAGGACATAACCCTCATTCCTTCTTGGGCCATTTATACTGCATTGGAGCAGCCACAGCTGCCTCTGGTAATCTACCAACTCACATCATTAAAATATGGGTCGGGGGAAATCATCCGCATACAACAAATACATCCCCAATCCTGAGAAAGAAATAAGATTGTCTTTCTGTGAAATGTCTAAATAATGACCTGCTGTATAAATGTATCTGCCTTGTAAGAATCGCTTCTTATATTTTGCCCTCTTTTACAGGTATAACCTCACGTCAGTTTCGGCACACCTCAACTGACTTTGCTCTTACTACTATTGCTTCTTTATTATTGATCCTTACGTCCTCGAAATGTGCCATACACAAATAGAAGGCTTGGCCTGTAATTGTGGGAGGTACATGGAACCCTACTTAAACCCAGTGAGCCCCTGCTTACCTGTCATCAACGATCTCGGAAGTGACCCTCCCACCGCACCCTCTATTTATTCTCATATCACCTAGGTGGGCCCTCTTTTAGAGGTATAACCTCACGTCAGTTTCGGCACACCTCAACTGACTTTGCTCTTACTACTCTTGCTTCTTTATTATTGATCCTTACGTCCTTGAAATGTGCTGTATACAAATATATATATATATATATATATATATATATATATATGTAAAAATTGCCTGTTACCCTTGTACCTATATAATAAAATACTTTGTATTTTAGTTGGTTGTGGTCCTCATTCAGTAATATAATATATTGATAAGATAGTGTTGCATTAGGATCAATAATCCAGTTAAAGCATAGTAATGTACCAATGTAAGGATTTTTTATCCTCTAGACATTAGATAATAAATACATGATATAATGTTTAAAAAAAATAACTTTCTCACCCCTCCAGATGTATTCCTCATTCTCAGATCCTTTATTAGAGGCCAGCGAGTATGAGGATCTTGCACAATATCTCTGCACTCTACTGGACAGTGATCTCAGATGTTCCACCTAGACTCTGCTCAAGCCACTCCCCCAACTTGTGGGTCACAGCCTGAGACTATTACTGCCTTCACTTTCCACATCCTTTCTAGCTCCTCTTTGAGACATTTTATTTATCCGCCTTCTCATGTTCCTTCCTCCTGATGTTATGATTAATGGTTATTGCCACATCCATCACCACTGCAGCCTTCTATTCTTGTTGTAATAACTGGCTGTGTTTATTTAGTTGATTAAGTCTTTTATATATATATATATATAGATATTTATTCATGGGCCAAATATAATGCTCGCCACATTACTATATGTCAATAGTAATGAAAAGTACTAATACGCAATCTGACGTTCTTTATAAAAAAGATGCATTTATTCTACTTCAATAGCAAACAATTATATACTTAACAGATGGTATTTCTTAACGACGTTACAGAGAGTCGTCTTTGTATCAGTAACTCAGGACATTGGAGATGAGAGCAAAACGGATCGTAGAAGGAAGAGAGCGTGGACCTTTGTCCTCTGCCCTTTATAGCCCAAATTACATCATAACGTTTAGTTTTGACTCTGGCCATATAAGGTATATAAAGTTCCCCATATAAAGACCACCCAAATCTCCTATACAGCACATTTCCAGAGACCTCATGGTACAGAATAGCAAACGCCATCTGTTCTGTTTAACCCATTAGACAGACACACCTTAATATGTATTTGAATAGGAACATATAGAATATGCAATATTCTATACTTCTCTACCACCATGAGGTCAGGTTGATTGGCCACTACTTGCTTGTCTCGCTGGCTCTGAAAGCTCCACAGAATATTAGCCTTTTTTTTCTCAACTGTACTTTCTGGTATCTCCCAAGCCAAGCCCATTTTCTGTGAAGATATTTTGGTAAACAATTCCATCAACTTGGTTGTGCCTTAGTGTATGCTTGCACCCACCTTCTATGTGCTGGATTGTCTCAGAGGCCTCTTTGCAGTTTCTGCACCTTGGATCTCACCTGATGTTGTAGGCCATTGTTACGGTTGCCCCAGGCTAGCTGAGGGTTGGACCGTAGAAAGGATGCTCCTAGCACTCACCAAGGACCATCAGCAATGCACCAGACACCATAAGCACTGCAGACCTCATGAACCGCCGCTGCTTGGTTGGGGTCTCGCCGTCTCCTACCCACCCTGGACCTACGACAAGGCTCCAGGTTCCAGTGGGTTAACCTCTCTTCCTTCCAGAGAGCGAAGCAGGAACAGGAACAAGCTCTTACAAGAGCTCAGTGAAGCTAAGGCAGTATGCAGAGCATAGCAATCCCTGTAGTGATTATAGCTGTCCACTCCAAACACGAGTCAAGGCTGTGAGTTGATGGTCAAGTAGAACTGGTTTAATGAGCACAAAGGCATTTCTTATATACAGTTTTCCCCACAAGGTTACCACCAACGTGGACCTTGTGGAGCACAGAACACAAAGTCACAACAGGCCATCAACACAGTATTGTACAGTTAGACACTCCCAGCTAATGTACACAAACCCTCCCCTCTGCCTGTGATACAATTACCAAACACAATGGACTAACTCAACTACCACAGGCAGAAATTATTCAGTTTTACCCAAAACAACAACAACAACATATCCCTACAAATTATACATCCCTGGATAGCCCTGATCTGGGTGAACAACATATCAAAAAATCACCAAGATTAGAGCAGGGGTTAAAAGGTTTTATGGAAGTCTCTTCTGACCTACTGCAAGCATGGCTTTCATGCCTAAAACAGTTCCACATATTTAGGCTGTGCAGCTGGTCTATGTTCTCCTCTATCCTGGAGTTAATTGGCTTAAGTGGCTGTGGTAACCTAATTATCTCCAGTAACAGGAAATATCTCTAAGTCAAAAACTGTTACAAAAACCACATAGAAATACATAACTTTTATAATACAATGTTTAACCTATATGCCCAACATATCCCCAGATAGCTTGGATATGAGCGCTCAATATATCCAAAAAGCGCTCAGATCTCACTAATACAGTTGGATCGCCATGGGGTTAAACAACAGCAAGGGCTGATGACAGATTGAGGAAGGACAAAGCAGCCAGTATCAACTGGTCTGGCAGAGTCCCTGGGACAAGGTCCTGCTGGAGAAACAATAGGACAGGAAAAAGGGGGAGGGGAAGAGGCACATTTTCCCATGGATTTAAAGGGCCAGAAAAAGTGTTTTAAAATCCAATAAGCCCAAATAGACTTTTTAAATGGCAATACACCCCAGGGGCCATAGTCACAAGGCAAGATTGTGACTGGCAAGCAGGCCTCTCCAAAAGTCAGTGGCAAAGTGTAGTTCGTCACAGCCATGCTTCTATTGAACTAGTGCTGAGTGCCATGTGTTTGTGGTACCCCAAGGTACTTGTGGCTGTTCTCTATGTCTCCTATTTGACCTTATGGTACTGGCACTCCCTCTGTCCTGCTCATCTCCCCTCTCCTTGCTATCATCTGCCCACATTTATCTAGTCCGATGTATAAATGTAGAGTAAGTGACCGATGGTAGATCATGACGAATTAGCTTCTTTATCCAGTAGGTGTGTATCATGTCAGGTCCTGACATATAAGTTTACAACTGCAGGTGTAGTATAAAAGCATCACTACAACAGGTCCCTACTACACCTGCTGTTTTAAACATATATGTGAATAAAACTTTTTTTGCACTTTATCTTGTTATATATTTTCTACGTCTTTTCTCTTTCATAATAAAAGCCCCATTATAGGTTCGATGAGAGTGAACAAGGATTGGGAATATTGGAAGACATTTCTATTGGGGTATTACCCAGAAGACTTGATTGTGGCATACAAAGTACGAGTGGCCAATTGGAAAAATATATTTATTTTAATCGATGCACAGTTATGCACTATATTGTGCCCTCCTTTTTCTAAATTATCCCTGTTTCACATGTGTGTCTGAAGAGCTGAGGAAACCTTTGGAGCATAGTTCCTGCTTAATATATTTTGTACACAAATTTGTCACACTGTTTTGATATTGAGTTTGTGATTGTCACTGTATATTTAACATTAGTCGGCTACCTCAAGATTTTAGTGTTTGGCTGTTCAAAATTTTGAATTTCTTCTTATCAAATAAACATCCCAATCACTTAAGATACAGCCGATACATCCTTGAACATTACACCATATACAGACCAATTTCGGCAGCTGTGCCCATCCAATCACTGTGTCTATTGGAATAGGTCTATGTCATAGATGAAACTAGGTTTGAATAATGGCCAATGAGGCAGACTGGCACGGCCAAATATACTCCCATGGGACGGACCCTGAAGAACCAACCATGAGACTCCACTGTGCCAATCTGGGACCCAGACCCGGAGTATCTAATCAAACCCTCCCCACTAAAAAGGTTAAACAAATAATGCTTGTCGCAGACCGTATGGGGCAACCCTTTCACCTCTAAGACCACAAAAAACATGTACTGAAACAAGGCTAAGTTGGTGTCGGCCGACTTGCCCTAACCAGCACCCCCGAAGTCACTTTTGACAATAGACATCCCTCTTTATACACCAATGGTCCTGTAGTCCTAGAAGGTCCGGACTGCAAGCCAACTGTGACATGAATACACAAACACCAGAGGGGAATTGACAAACAACCATAAATTTAAACACCAAACAAACAAGTGGATATAAGCTGAAACCCTACAGGAAACACACATGCTATTTGGGGGGCCCTCTTTGCACCTCCCCTTCCTACCCTCCCTGCCCACCGTGTTCTGTTAATCCACAATTACTACCTTTGAAGCTACTCTGAAAAACAGATGCCAAATGCAATAGCATACCAATTAATATAAGTTTAATGTTTTAATGTGCAATGTAACAATGTTCTGTACAAATAACTACATGCTTCTTGTGTGCAACAGTGATCAACATTGTAACTCAAAATTTAACAATGATGCTTCCCTATATGTACAGCCTTGCTACTTTTGTTTTGTGCATCTAAAAATTGACAATATAAAATAAATAAACATTCCAAATTTGGTCAAATTGCACTTCAGTCCAACATGAATCTCCAAGTCTAATAACAAAAAACTGTACTTTTTCACATTCTAACTATACACTATTAATAATTGTGTCTGCTCTTTCTTGTGTTTTGATTAAGAAAAACAATAGATACTTTTCTAAAGCAATGGATTTTAATATAACAACACTTTGTTCAAACCCCTCTGATAGTGAAAAGACAATTTTATACACAACTAACAAGACATTTACTGTTCTATATATCCTGTCGAACATGTTTTAATCTACTGAGGCATTTTGAAACACAAACTCTTGACACATAGTACTGTTCATTTCGTTGCTGTAAATGAAATAAATCATTTGATATTACAAATTCAGTAGTGTGTCTCTCGCTTACATTACAATCTTTTATATAATCACTTTTCCCTTAAGAACTATTGAAAGATAAAAAAGGAAAGCTTTACATGAAACTTATGAATGAAAGCAAATAAAAAATAATTTGTTGAACTACATCACGAGTGTCATCGTATGTACCTAC